GTCATGCAGTGATTTTGGTAGAGTTTACTGGGTTCGTGGGAACATTTAGTTACCTTTTCACATTTGCGATGCAGGGTTATTTCGAGGAAAATACCAATAGTGAACTCATTTAGTTAGGAGCCAATTCAGGCAAACAAAATAGGGCACTAACTCATCGACCGCGCTGCGACCGCACGCGTTTCAAGCCGCTCGTCTCAGAGGCGACTGCTGCCCTTAATTTAACATGAGTTCATTTGCTGTATATTCAGGGATTCCTGGCAAGGCTGGAATGCAGGGTATTCCTGGCATGAAAGGTGAAGCCGGACCAATGGGCCCAACCGGAATGAAAGGCGACAAAGGCAGCACGGTTTGTGCGTCTACATCTCCACTAATTAACTCGTTTTGTTATTGTATTCACTTTATTTTAGGTTTTCTTATGCATTAGCTATTTATTCTTCGATCTCCTAACTTATTTGCATAATTTTTCGCATTTATTGAAAACTGCACCTGAACTCTAGATCAAAGTTCTCAGGCCCATATAAATTCAGGGCTACCCAGGACAGAAAGGAGAGATCGGTGCTGGTGGTATACCAGGAATGAAAGGTGACACTGGAATTCCAGGAAAGGTTTGTATTAAGATCAAGTATTGTTTTTACTTTATATCAATCCGAGAAGATAAGGTGGTCGATTATGAGTGAATTTCTCAAAATGCGCCACGCATCCGACTTTCACTTGAACTCGTGGGGAAATTGTGAGTCCATAGCTGCACAATAAATTCCGGAAGCAGCCAGTATTTGATAATCTACCCGGGCTCGATTGGTCTGACTACGATAAGATTCATTTAGTGATGAAAAGTCTAGTCGTAGATCTTCTTGCCAATAACCCGACTCCATTTACGACAGCGCGCACGGACACGATTGCATAGCCGAATTTCCCATAGAAATCAATCACCGCAGTAAGCTTAGTAGAGTTGCCGTTTGATCATGGTGACCTCGAGGCGCAAGCAACAACCATCGTGAGGTCAGGTAGGTTCAACCCCTCCCCCTAAGCAAAAATCTACGAGTGGATGAGAGTGGGCATTAAGGATTTTTGAATGGGGGTCGTATTTCAGGTTTTGTGTATTTTTATTGTGACATAGGTGAAGAGGGATCGCATAAGAGATCTTCAGAGGGAGTCGTGGTGGCGAAAGTTGAGGAGTCATGTTGTAGTGGAGTAGTTTTTTGACGGTTTCTCTTCACAATCTTTACGAGAAATACGTCTCCTGGACGTATTTAGGCCGCCACGCTCGCCGTTAGGTTACCCTCCGCCATCTCAACGTAGCCGTCTAGCTGAGATAGCGTTAGTGAAGAGGCAGCACCGATGAGACTTGCCCTTTCCAAAATAACAACACTCAGAAAAAAGTTCCACCTCTATGCCG